CTGTGTCTCCTAAGTCTCCTGCATTGCAGACAGATTCTTTACCGCTGAGCAATCAGGGAAGCCCAAAGTGCCTCAGCAGGCCCTTCCAAGGTCCTGCGTGATCTTCTTCCCTGTCTTCTCTGACCTCCCCCCACCCCAAGCTCCCTCTGCTCTAGTCACCCTCCTTCCAGGCTGTGATTCACACCTGCCTCCAGGCTTTCCCCTACTCAGGGGCTCAGAGTTACCTGAGAGACTGATTAAAATGCAGACGACTGGGCCCCAGCCCAGTTACTAATTCAGGTCTGGGGTGGGGCCCCGGATGTGCATTTCTAACAAGGTCCCTGGTGATGGGGATGCTCAAGACTCGGTCCCCAGTATGACAGTTTCAGCAGGACCCTCCAGATATCTCCTCTGCTGGGACCAATTTGCCCCAGACACCACTTGGCTATTGCCCTCTCCTCCTTCAAGTCTTTGCTCAGATCTTACGGTCTCCGTGAGGCGCACCTTGACCATTCTATGCAATATTGCACATTGCCACCTGCATCCCCAATCTCCTCTCTACACTATTTTTCCTTTCTTCCACTATCTAACATGTGGATAATTATTTTACTTAGTTTGTTGTTAACTATATATCCCCATGTACCTAAGGGTGATTTTAACGCAGATCCTATGAAGCCGTGTGTGTGTAAGTCACTTAGTTGTGTCCGACTCTTTGTGACCCCATGAACTGTAGCTTGCCAGGCTCCTCCATCCATGGGATTTTTCAGGCAAGGATACTGGAGTAGAGTGCCATTTCCTTCTTCAGGGGATCTTCCCAACCCAGGGATTGAACCTGGGTCTCCCGCATTGCAGGTAGACTCTACCATCTGAGCCACTGGGAACTTTTATGAAGTCCTGAGGATCCCATAAATCTCCCAGGGATCTGCTAAACTCATCAAATATATATGCAATAGTTGTGAACCATGATGTTTTTTAAGTATAAACTAAAACAATAAAAGTCAGCCATTTTATCAGCAAAATGGGCTTATTCGGGAATAGCAAAGAATAGCAATTTAGGACACATAACTATGGTGAACCACATTCAAGTCCAGGTAAAGCAAAGGAGAGGAAACTCTTTTATAGAGGAGAAAGGGAAGTTGGATGGGTTGTTATAAACAAAAAGTCCATTGGAGGAAACTGGGAGTTTGAAGTATAGTCACTTTTCATTGGCTAGTTTGTAATAGTCTTTCATTGACTGAACTGTTACCACACAAGGAGAGAAAAAATCTTCCTCTGTGGGAAACTAATGTCACTTCCTGCTGGAGATGCAAGGTATGTCTCTTCCTGTTGGGAAACTATTGATGTCCCAGTGGTACCTTTGTGAGGGCTCCCCTTTCTGGACTCCTGACTCCATTTTAGTGAGGTTTCCCTTTATTAATTTTCAGTCAGTAGCTTTCATTAGATTCTCAGACTTACTTGATCCCCAAAGCTTAAAAACCATTTGCAGATCAATATCTGGCACAGAATAGGTGCTCAATAAATATTTGTTGACTAAATTAAAGAACTTTTAAAGCATTATTCACACACACTTTTATAAAAAAATTTTGTTGATTGATTGATTTGGTTGCATCAAGTCCTAGTTAACAGGCTGGGTCTTCATTGCATCATGTGGGATTTTTTTTTTTTTTTTCATGTGGCACATGGAGTCTCTAGGTGTGGCACACAGGCTCAGTAGTTGCAGTTCATGGGCTTAACTGCTTCTTGGCATGTGGGATCCTAGTTCCCTGAGCAGGGGTCAAACCCCCATCCCCTGCATCGGGAAACGGATAAACCACTAGACCACCAAGGTAGTCCCTCACACACAAGTTTTTTAAAAAAGGAAAACTGACGGCACACTGGCTCCCAAATGTTGGTGTCCTCAGACAACTAAGTCAGAATGAAAGGGTTCCTTTGTAAAAGTACAAATTTATTATTTAAAATACCCTCAGAGAGTCTGAGTCAGGGGTTAGGGTGGGGCCAGAAATTCAGGATTTTTCAAAGCCTCCCGCTTCCCCCCACCTCCACACCTCCAAGTGAGTCTGAGGTGCAGCCAGGTGTAGGAATTTCAGTGTGAAATCTTTATTGGAGAGAAATCAGGAGACTCGATTACCGTGTGCAACTTTTAACACTTTTTCAAACACTGTGATCATACCCATGGTCACTTGTGACCTTCTCACAAGCTCTCAGATGACGGGGCAGGGACTCTATAATCTCTCTTTTACTAAGCAGAAAGCTGAGGCCCTGGGGAGCCAAGACAGCCCTGACACTCAACGGTCATACTGCCTGCGGGGATTAGAGATACAGTTAGAACCTGGGCCCCTGGCCTCTCACTCTAGGGTTCTCCCATCTGTGCCAACTGGATAAACCCAAGTTCCAGGAAATGCCAAGGACACCACCAGGGGAGGGGAGGCAGGGAAGGGAGGGGCAGAGTGGCAAACACGTGGAGGGCAAGGTTCGGGAAGTTGTCTCCTGGCCACCAGGAGAGACTCCAGCTGCTCTAAGGACACAGGCAGCCACATGCTAACTCTGGCTGTGTATGATCAAAGGCCAATCACTTTCCCTCTAAGTAACTCAGTCTCCTTGTCTGAAAAGTGGGACTGATGACTGTGGCAAATTCTTAAGGAGACTGGAATACCACACCACCTTACCTGCCTCCTGAGAAACCTGTATGCAAGTCAGGAAGCAACAGTTAGAACCAGACACGGAGCATTCAAATTGGGAAAGTAGTACGTCAAGGCTGTATATGGTCACCCTGCTTATTTAATTTATATGCAGAGTTGTCGTTCAGTTGCTTAATTGTGTCCAACTCTTTGTGACCCCTTGGACTGCAGCACACTAGGCTTCCCTGTCCTTCACCATCTCCAGGAATTTGCTCAAACTCATGTCCATTAGGTCTGTGATGCCATTCAATCATCTCATCCTCTGTCACTCCCTTCTTTTCCTGCCTTCAATCTTTCCCATCATCAAGGTCTTTTCCAATGAGTTATCTCTTCATATCAGGTGGCCAAAGTATTGGAGCTTCAGCTTCAGCACCAGTCCTTCCAAGGAATATTCAGGGTTGGTTTCGTTTAGGGTTGACTGGCTTGATCTCCTTGCAGTCCAAGGGACTCTCAAGAGTCTTCTCCAACACCACAATTCAATGTATATGCAGAGTTCACCATCCAAAATGGATGCATCACAAGCTAGAATCAAGATTGCCAGGAGAAATATCAACAACCTCAGATTTGCAGATGATACCACTCTAATGGCAGAAAGTGAAGAGGAACTAAAGAATCTCTTGATGAGGGTGAAAGAAGAGAGTGAAATAGTGGGCTTAAACTAAATATTAAAAAGAGTAAGATTATGGCATCAGGTGCCATCACTTCATGGCAAATAGATCGGGAAAAAGTGGAAACAGTGACAGATTTTATTTTCTTGGGCTCCTATATCACTGTGAATGGTGACTGCAGCCATGAAAATGAAACATGCTTACTCCCTGGAAGAAAAGCTATGACAAACCTAGACAGTTTAAAAAGCAGAGACATCACCTTGCTGACAGAAATCCATGTAGTCAAAGCTATGATTTTTCCAGTAGTCATGTATGGATGTGATTGTTGGACCATAAAGAAAGCCAAGCACCAAAGTATTAATGCTTTTAAATTGTGGTGCTGGAGAAGACTCTTGAGAGTCCCTTGGATGGCAAGATCAAACCAGTCAATCCTAAAGGAAACCAACCCTAAATATTCATTGGAAGGACTGATGCTGAAGTTGCAGCTCCAACAACTGGCCACCTGACGTGAAGAGCCAACTCTTCAGAAAAGACCCTGATGCTGGGAAAGATTGAAGGCAGGAGGAGAAGGGGATGACAGAGGATGGTTGAATGGCATCACAGACTCAATGGGCATGAGTTTGAGCAAACTCTGGAAGATAGTAAAGGACAGGGAAGCCTGGTGTGCTGTAGTCCATGGGGTCACAAAGAGTGGGACAAGACTTAGTGACTAAACCCCAAGTTAAAACTATTGTTACCAAGGAAAGATACAACATCCCAGAAGATCACCAGAAGATCTCTAGGGACCAAGGTAAATCCAGCCTTTCATTCATTTGAGGTACCTTTTTGAGCTACCTAGTATGCACCAGATATTTTGCTGGGCATTGTGCACACATTACCTCATTTAACCCTCACCACATCTCAGTGGGATTGGTGCTGTCGTTATCCCCATTTTACAGAGGAAAAAACTGAAGCTCAGAGGAACGAGTGGCAATTCTTTTGACCATCTGATCTGTTCATTAACCCAACTTTTACTGAAAACCTGCTCTGGGCCAAGTGCTGAGGACACGAAGCTGAACAAGTCCTTCAGAAGACATGCCTATAAATTACTTTAATAACAACTCAGTACGTGCTTCCACAGACGAATGAGTGGGAGAGAGGGGAGGAGCAGCTGACTCTCCTGGGATTACGGGGGAGGGGCAACTAATCTCCCCGGGGCCCCTGCTCCACTGAGGCGCTCTGCCGTGTGCAGAGGTGGCAGTAAAAAAGCCTGGGTTCGAGGTTCACTTCTGTCAAGGCTTTGCTGTGTGTTCCTAGGAAACCCTCTCCAGCCACTGAGACTTGCCAGTTTTCTTAATCTGGAAAATTGAGAGGTTAAGAGGTTGGGCTTGTGATCCTTGGTTGGGCTTGCAGTTCTGGGGGCTCTAAACCTCTAGACGTCCCACCCCACCTTCTAGTCCATTCAAGCTTGGCCCCAGCCAGACCCAAGACTGAAAATAGAGCAACCAAAGCTGATGATCATTTGAAAAGTGCGGAACGCCCTGCTCCCAGACAGAACTCAACGCCGGAGGCGTGGCCTGAGGTCCAAAGGGCGAATCTCCGACAGGGGCGGGACTGAGACCTCCGGGAGGTGTGGCTTGGACCGCCTAGAAGCGACTCATCCAGCCAATGAGCACCTGAGGGCGGATCAGCCCCTCCTCCGAGTATAAGAGGGCGCCGAGTCCGGGGGCGCGGCGCAGAGGTCTAGCAACGCGACCGTGTAGGTGTGCAGGGTCTTTGCTACCCAGAGCTGGGGTGGACAAGCGCTCTGAGTTCTGTGTATACTGGGCTGCGCAGGAACCAGGGCCGGCCTCGGTTTTCCTTTGCCCGGCTGGGCTGCGGAGAGAGCGCGAGGCTCGGATCGCTCGCTGCAGAGGAACAGCTGGCCGGGGCCGGGGGACGCGCGCGCTGACCATCGGTCCGCCGCCGGCAGCCAGACCTCCGTCATGGCTGACCACCTGATGCTCGCCGAGGGCTACAGCCTGGTGCCGAGGCCGCCGCCCGCCGCGCCCGCCCACGGCCCTCACGCGCTCCGGACGCTGCAGCCGTACTCGAGCCCAGGCCTGGACAGCGGGTTGCGGCCGCGGGGGGCTCCGCTGGGCCCGCCGCCTCCTCCACAGGGGACCGTGGCATACGGGGCCTTCGGGCCGTCGCCCACCTTCCAGCCCTTCCCGGCTATGCCACCGCCGGCGGCCGGCAACGCGCACCTGCAGCCCGTGGCGACGCTGTACCCAGGACGCGCCACCATGCCCCCCGGCGCCCCAGGAGGCCCCTCAGGCCCGCAGCCCGCACCCGGAGCCCCGGCCCCGCCACTGCAGCCGCCGGCGCACGCCCTGGGCGGCATGGACGCCGAACTCATCGACGAGGAGGCGCTGACGTCTCTGGAGCTGGAGCTCGGGCTGCACCGCGTGCGCGATCTGCCCGAGCTCTTCCTGGGCCAGAGCGAGTTCGACTGCTTCTCGGACTTGGGGTCGGCGCCGCCCGCCGGCTCGGTTAGCTGCTGAGCGAGGCCGGACGCTTGCCCGGCGTGCTCGAGAGAAGGGGCCCAGCCTGCCCGCCGGACTCCGCCCCCAGCGTCTGGGCCCCGCACGCACCCTCCGTGAGGGTGGAGGCCGCGGTGAGTGCACCGAGCCGACGCCGGCCTGGGACGCCTGGCCTCCCTCCAGGCCCTGCCTCCTGCAGGATGACAATTTGAGTTCATCTCTCTGACCCGGAGCCTCAGCGGTAAAATGAAGGGGAAGGAACCCCCCTTTCGGACTCCCAGTTCTTAGATTCTGTATCCTCTCCTCTCGGACTGTCCCTGGCCCCAGCCCCCAATCTGAGCCAACCCAGGCCTCTGCCTGATTTCCCCCCCTCCTTGCGAAGCCCACTGTGGTCACTGGGTCCCTGGAGCCACCCACCCGCCAGGCCCCTAGCCCCGACGCCTGGGCCCTGAGGTCACTGGGCTCTCCGCCCTGGGGAAGAGCAGACGGTCCAGCCCTCACCCCTGTAGAATGGAGCAATGCCCCATCTGGCCTCCAACACCAAAATAAAACTGGGTCACTTTCCAGTCTGGCGTTTTCATTTCCTTATCACTCCAACTATATTTGGCTTCTAGAGTCCTGAGGCTGCCAGGGGTCCTGGGTGAGATGGAGGCCACAGGCCCTGGCAGTGGCCAGGAGAGGAAACTGACAGTTTCTTTCAAAAATATCTGTGAGTTGTGCAATTGTTCTGTCATACTCTGGAAGGCAGAGGCTGCCGCCACTGGTGGCAAGGTAACCCAAGGGCGCGGAAGGTGGACTCCCTGCTCCTGGGAAGGACGGGGGAGGTGGGGCTTAGGGACACTGCCTCACTGTTCACTCAGCATGGAGGTCAGAGGGTAGCTGGCTGTACCTGAGGGTTCAGGCTCTGGTTTTGAACTGGGACTCTCTCTCTTGTTCATGACGCCATCCATTCAGATTTCTGAAGCCATTTCCTCAGAGACAGATACAGATGGTCCCCGTCTTAGGTGGTGGTGAGGCCCACATGCGATGTGAGACCTTTAGCACAGGGCCAGACACCTCGGCAGCGCTCAGGAAGTGATAATGATGACTACTCCACAACAACAATCATGCCCTCAAGGAGTCACAGTCCAGGTAGGAATAGTCGGCGGAACAGACCTGGAAAGTTGTCAGGATGAGTTGGTACACGGAAGAGTGGGATGAGGAGTGGGAATTAGGTAGGACGGCCCAGCAGGCAAACCCGGAGAAGGGAGTGGTTTCAGCTGGTGGTGGTGGTGGTGGATGGGTGGCAGGAGTGGTCAGGTCAATTCAGGCTTCAGGAAGGCGGTGACATTTGATGTGGTAAGAAGAGCCTTGAAGGACTTGGAGAAGATGGCATGCGAGTGGAAAGTCCATTCAGAGGCAGGGAGGCATGCATGTACAGGGCCTGTGTGGGCAGGCACGGGGTCTCTAGAAAGGTCTATTCGAGTTATGGGGAATGGGGAAGTAGGCACAACCCCTGTTCTACAGACAGGGATGCGGGGCTGGCCCAAACCTGGCAGATCTGGCCTCAGTCCTGACCACCAGCGCTGACTCCTGGCCACCCCATGCTGCTGCCTATCTCTGGGAAGGTCCATCGGTGCTTCAAGGGTGTGGAGAAAGGCAGGAAGAGAGGAATGGAAGGCCGAGAGGAGAAGCTAAAGACCAGGACAGGACAGGGCAGTGGGGCTGGAGAGGAGATAATGGATTCCAGAGACCCTGGGGGGGAAGGAACAGAGCTGTGACCTGTGTCCCATGGGTGACTTTACCTTCACGCCAAGCTTGACACAACTTTCCCTCCAGCCTGGGAGCTCACCCAGCACACACTGTAAACAGCAGCTCAGGAACCACCAAGACAGGCATGGAGCGGGCCACAGAGGTGTGTGATGGAAAAAGTGAAGGTTCCCCCTAAGGTACCAAGGGCGTTCTGGGACAGAATGGGGAGGAGGGCAAGGAGGCTTCTAGGCAGGGACTGGCCTGAGCTCTGAGATGAGAATGGCCAATGTTTGCTCTACTTTGGCCAAGATCTCAGGCCAGAGATAAAATCCAAAGGGCTGGATTGGGATGGGAGGGCCTGGCCCTGGTCTAGCCTCAGTTTCTCCACCAATAAAATAGGGTTAATAACCCTGCCCTACTATTTCACAAAACAAATAAGCCTCATGGTAGGTGGGGAGCAGAGTTGGGGTGGGATGATAAGCAGTAGATCAGCTCTGAAGTGCCCGCCATATGTAAGAGGTTACCGTGAAAACCCAACACCCACTTCTTCCTAGAGTTAAGAAAGAGGAGAAGAAGGAGTCCAGCTCCTGAGCGATTTCCCACCCACCATCCCTCCCAGAGGGACTGCTGACAAGTTGGACAGCAGACAGATGGACAGAAGAGAAGGTAAATCTGGGGCAGCCCACCACCTGGATTCCCAAATCCCTGATAACTTTGCAGGATTCTGACCCTCCCAGCTGGAGGGGAAGATGGAGTGTCCTTCCTGCCAGGAGGCTTGTAGTCTAATAGCTTTGGGGTCCATTTCCAGAAGCAGCTCCTACTAGCTGCCTGACCTTCTGAAGTCTTGATTCACCTACAGTTATCCAACCAGCTTCCTGTGGTTCTCACCGCTTCCTGGGGCTACCTCCTAAAATAACCCGTTGCCCCTCCCCCCACCCCCATCCTGTGAATTTCATTCTCCTACCGGGGCTGGCTCTTTGGGATTGGGAGACAGGCTCCCTCAGGGTTGGGAACTGACTCACGGCACCAGCAAGACATTATTTCATCTTTTCTTTTTTTCATATGCAAGTCCCCCCAGGCTGAAGTTTGTTATTTTGAATCATCTTTTGGTTGCCTGAATTTCATTAGCAAGTAGTTTTTTCCAAGTATGACTTCCCTCAAACTCATCTACAAAATGGAGATGCCAATAGTACCTCTCTCATAGAGCTGCAGTGATTAAACTAGTTAATTCCCATGAGGTGTTTAGAACAGTGTAGCTTGTAGTGTATTATCCCTGAGCCCTGGCTTTCTGGGGATACCTTTATATATTAGTGTTTAGAAAGGCTGTGTGGTAACCAGCTAGGACGAGAGAGTACTCCAACACTATTGCTTATTGGGATTCTCAGTAGCCAAACACCAGTAAACAATGCTATTTATTTATTTTACTTTTTAAGAAGTCTTTACTGAATTTGTTACAGTCTTGTTCCTGTTGTTTATGTTCTGTTTTTTCTTTTTCTTTTTTTTTTCAGCTAGTAGGCATGTGGGATCTTAGCTCTTTGAACAGGGATTGAACCCATACCTCTTGATTGGAAGGTCAAGTCTTAATCACTGGGCTGCCAGGGAAGTCCCTCAGATGGTGTTTAGCTTGCAAAAATTTTATCAGGGAAGAAAGGGTCCGGAACAGAAGCAAACAGAGGAAGCTACATGACAGACCCAACAAGAGCCAAACCCACAGGGAGGTTTGGTGATGGAAGGGCCCTTCAGAGTCCTCCCAACCATTCCACTCCTTTTTACTCCCGCCCCCATCAGTCATGCTTCCCAGGTGGCATTAGTGGTAAAGAACTACCATGCAGGAGACGTAAGAGAGGTGGGTTCAAACCCTAGGTCAGGAAGATTCCTGGAGGAGGACACGGCAACCCTTTCCAGTATTCTTACCTGGAGAACCTCATGGACAGAGAAGCCTGGCAGGATATAGTCCATAGGGTCACACGGAGTCAGACACGACTGAAACAATTTAGCACGCATGCACGCACCATCAGTCATGGGATGTGGCTGCCCAGGGAAGTGGTGTGGCTGTGGGTGGGGAGCTCTCCCCTGCTGAGCCATCCGTGGGGAAGCTGCTGGGGAAAACACTCTGCTGGCTGCACTCCCAGGGGCCCAGGGGACAATCTGATGGAAGCAGGGACTGGACTGGCCATCACAGTGTCCTCCACAAGCACCAGAGTGGGAACTAGGTGAGGTGAGTGTCATAAGAATGCCTCCTTAAATTTGTCTTTGGGTGCCTTGTTTGCCTCTGCCTAGTCTCAGACCTGACTAGCACCTTCCCTGTTAGAGGGGGGAAAATTCTTTTTAAGGAATATCAACCTTCTAGGGTCGATGTGATGAGATTCTACACAACTTCCTGGTACGTGGTAGATGCTTGATAGAGAGCTGCCACCATCATCATCATCGCCATCAACACTGCCGTCATTCCAGCTCAGCTAAGTGTTCAGCAGACATTTATTGAGTAAATTAAATGAGCAGTCTGAGCCTGGTCTTTTCCCAGGAAGCTTAGGCTGTTTAGCTGATTACTGTGTAATCCCCTTGAACTCCTTAATCCATTCTTGCCTAACTCTTTATGCCACCCTGCTGTTAAAAGTGCTGGGTCAGGATTACTGCTGACTGGGGGACTAAGTCAAACTTATCGAGTGTCTACTGTGAGCAGGCATGATGGGACCTAACAGCACCCACTAGGTACTTTTTCTCTTCTAGCCCCTACTTTAAGTATCACCCAAACCCATGGACGGAGGAGCCTGGTGGGCTGGTCCATGGGGATGCAAAGAGTCAAACACGACTTAGCGACTAAACAACAACAACAAAGCCTCTTAATAGCACCGCTGCTGTGTGTGTGCTAAATACTTCAGTCGTGTCCAACGCTTTGAGACCCTGTCCATGGGATTCTCTAGGCAAGAATACTGGAGTAGGTTACCATGCCCTCTTCCAGGGATTCTTTCCAACCTAGGATCAAACCTGCATCTCTTATGTCTCCTGCATTGGCAGGTGGGGTCTTTACCACTAGCGCCCCCTGGGAAGTCCCAAATAACACCCCTACGTGGTTGTATTCCCGTTCCAGAGGTTAGAAAATGGTCTCAGAGAGTGAATTACTCCTCTGAGTTACACCCTAGTAAGTGATGGGGTTGAGCATGCCCACTCCCACATATCCAGGGCCCTTTCCCTCCCCAGGTTGGGGCTGACCAAATACCTGAGCCTGAATGAGAGAGAGCAGAGCCCCAGACTTGGGGCTGCTACTTCGTGGCCGTGAGATGTAGAAGTCACGCTGAGCCTCTCTCGGCCTCAGTTTCTTCTTCTGTACAATGGGGAGAATAATCCCACCCTCTGAGGTATATGTGCAAGAACTCAAATGAGACTGAGTTTCTAAGAGCACACTGTAAACAGTGCAGCGCTCTAATTGGTTGGGTTGAGCTGGGGGTAAATAGCCATGGTCTGGAGGGAGCCGTGGCACACACTTTGGGACCTGAGATCTGGGCCAGCTGGGAATGTGCAATGCAGAGACACACACAGGGGTTCTGGGCAGGTGATACTGAGCAGGTTGGGGTCTGGGAAGCCCTGAGAGCTGGTGGTGATGAAAGGGCAAGGTGCGCAGCAACCTGGGGCAGAGGGAACATCCAGGTAAAGACCCCACGTGTGGCCTGGCAGATGGCGGAAGTAAAGGAAGCTGCTCTCAGCTCAGTCTCCTCATCTGTCAACTGGAGACACCACTGGCTCCCTGCGAGAAAGAAGAGGTGAAGCGCCTGCCCCCATGAGAGGTTCAGACAGAAGCTGTTGCTAGGAAACCTGACCACAGGGATAAGGACCA